CCAGTGCAGTACTAAACTAAGGCTTCTGGTCCATGCTGTTTTCCCAATGCCATGGCGCTTCCCCTGTGCTCGGTTGTGTGGAGTGCCTTGTTGGTTGGTGTCGGTTTTGTCAAAACATAGTGTTATGTTCATTTCACTCTAGGTTGTGTAGGGTTCTTTCCTTAGAGGGTACAACATTTCTCTCGATAGTCTTGTATCCCCCTCCCTTACCTAATCGACACTCCTCACCTAGCTAGTGATTCTAACAGGTTTTTCTAGCAATTGGCTTGCCCCACACCGCCACCAGCTGCTGCTGGTGCCACGATACAAATGGTTTAGGATCGGATTGGTTTTTTGGATGTGATGCTCTTCAGTTTGAAGTACGTTAGCTTGGGTTTAGCATGGTAGCTTGTGGTTGCCAGACTCTTCATTCTTACTATGCACAACATAAGCCATACTACTACGGTACTAGGGAAACCCTATTGGTTGATGGATAGCTGACTAGGGAATTATGATAAGGATGAAAAAAAGATCACTCGGACCTCTTAAAAGCTGATGTTCGCACAATATGCTACTCTTGGTACACTCAATGAGTTGCCATAGATAATTTCAAATGGATTACAACTTTAGGTGACTTGCGCTCTTGGGTGAGATACGTTTCTACAACTGACTTATACGTATAACCGACTCCACAATGGCAAGAAAAAGGGTGTATAGAACAGCATTTTTTGTCTTCGCACATGGGCAGGAAGGAAGGTGCGAGCAGTTTCGAGAGAAAAGACGATGCTACCCAGGGGCGGTAGCAGAAAGTGATTTCAAGTAACGAGTGAAGGCACTCACCTAATGTGGTTCAGTTTTCTGAGCCAAAAGCTACATCTTTGACGAACCTGGACAGGTCCGGTTCCATCTGTACACTCTACTGTGTATATCTGGCCAAATTCAACTGTTCGGGCAGCGGGCAGGCACCTACGTCAACTCATCTCTCCATCAGCTTCGCTGCACTGCACACCATTCCTTGCGCAACGTCATCAAATGGTGCAGGCATCAGCGGTGCTCATTTCCCCTAGCAGTTACGATTCCGATGACGTTTGACGTGTAAAGGCGATTGTTGACGCACCTTCCTCGAATTCGTCACCAGGCTCACTTGAGCTGCTGATGTCGTAAGGTTCAGCCGCAACGGTCGCGCAGCGTCGCATAAATGCCCTGCGAAATGACATTCGGAGAAGCTTGACAAGCCTGACCTGACGGAAACGGAAGCGTTACTCACGTAGAGCTGATCTGAGCCGTAGATAACTTACTTCCAAGGGCTTCATCGAGCGGGACAAGGCCACCTTTCGTTCATGGCAGGTTGACACGTGTCGATTTACATATGCACCATAGCCTTACCCCGTCGCCCCCCACAAAGCCTATCACCGACCAGATTCCTGGCATGTTGCACTATTCAAGCATGAAGCCCGAATCAATCCTCGACGCGACTGGTCGCCTCCACCTTCGTTTTATCTGCAGTTACCGTACACCCTGTTTCTCGATGTTCGGACAATCGGGAGCCCTGGCTACAGTACGCACGTGTGCTTGGATTCAGCGGGCTGGTGCTTGCAACCAAAATGCACCTGAGGAGAACGGTAGACAACGGTCATGAAAGAAAACGTGCTTTTGCGTTCGGTTTCGTGCGGCAAAAGTGCTTATATGGTATGTTCTGGGACCAATTTAGATGCGGGTTGTCAATATGACGAATGTCAGTGTGGCGCGAAACAAGGTGTACTTTATTTGTCGAATCAGATCAGAGCGCGACGATGGCAGAGCAATTCAGTACGGAACGGAATCTTGTTGGCTGGCCTTAGTTTCTGATCAGACTTGGTGATTTGTCCCCTTTCCTCACCCATGCCCGCAAAAGCAAGCCAGATTCGTTTCACCACTTCAGAAAGTTTAGAGTTTTTTTCTATTCTCGCTTAAAACAAATCACTTCAGAATGCTATCTGGGCATTATGGGCTTAACCAGCAATCCCTTTTGGACAGGCCTTCAGTGTAGTGCAGAAGCTCTCGAACGCGGCTGTTTGGGGACCAATTGTCCTATTGAGTCGGATCCACAATTGGGTGGCAACACCGTCAGAGAGTTTGGCAAGAATTAAAGGTATAAAGAAGGGTTGGGGTATGTCTTTAGATTACCTGAAGTTTAGGAAGAAATCATACGAATTAAACTGTACTTTTGAAGGGTTTCACTTCCAAACGCGCAGCCCCTAGGCGAAGAGCCCGTTTCGCGCTTTCCGTTGGCCGCACTTGCCCCTGACAGCGTGTCCGCTCCCGGAACCCAGCATCCACGGCAAGCTGGATGCCAAAGTCCGCGTGCTGCTGTCTGTCTCCCCCAGATCCTCCCCACCTCACACGGGTGTTTTTCGGCGCCGAGTGATTTTCTAACGCGGAGAGATTTCCCGGCAACGTGAGTGTCCCTCCCTCCCAACCCAATCTCTCCCCATCCCCACACGTCCATAAAGGCAACGTGACGAACATATTCTTCTGTCCACCATTCTAGCAACCAAGCTGCTTCTCCTCTATTGATCGGAGATTCGGAGTTTCTGCCAGGGAGCGTGCCGTAACGACTCAGTTTTTTATTGTGGCTGTACCTCACGCTGCAAGCTGTCGCTTTCAAGCTCAGTTCCTGTTACTGCACCTGGCAAAAGTGCGCTGTAAACGTAACTACTGTTCCTTGAAGCTCAGTTGATTTCGTCCACATTGGATAGCTCTTCAATGGCTTCACAGACCGCCATTGGCGTTAGAAATCACTTACAAGCGCCACCGAACAATGGAATCGACATCACGCCGTCCAACGTGATCCGCAGCACGCTCGGCGCGGTCGAAATGGCGGCGCTGGAAGGCAAGCTGCAGCTGCTGCAGATTCAGCGAGAGCTCTCAGCCGTCCGATGTCAAGGCTTCATCGAGATGATCCAATCCTCGCTGCTCGCCGAACAAAAAGAAGCCGCCGCCAAATCCGCCGTGAAATCCGCTGTAAAATCTGGTGCGAGATCCTCTGGCGACGGAGACGCTGACGGCGGCGCTGGCGCTGATCCGAGGTTGACGAGGAACAGCATCGAGCCGCTAGATCGATCGAGGCGCCAATCGCGGCAGCTTTTCCGGCACATGTCGCTCGATGTCCATCCAACGGCCGGCAACCAAACATGGAGAGAAGATCTTAGCTTTTACGACGAACCCACGTCGTGCTCCCCACGCGTTCAGGGTCATGGCGGTAATGCGGCTTCTCACGGTAGTCCTTCCCAGTTGCGCGGCTCCCCGCGACACAGATCCCCCCGCCACGCTGCCGCCGCGCGCGCGGCGCAGGCTGGAGGATCCGCTTCTCCGCGCACTCTTCCGCAAACGTCTGCTCTTCTGCGGCCCGGATCTCCGCTCGTTACTGCGCCGGGCGCGCGTCAGCTTCCGCTCACTCCGCGCACGGCTTCCGCCGCTTCTCCACGAGTTGTTGTGCTTGCGAATTCGCCCCTGCGGAGGCACGTCAGCCTGAGTGCAGGGTTCGAATCCCCGTGCCAATAAATTATATCAACTCCGTTCACGAAGCCTGCAACTTCAGCGAGCAAACTGTTTCGCAGACATGCTGTGTTACTCCGCAACTTCCATCCTACTCAAAATGTGAGACTCATTACAGTTTGCTGAGCTGCTACTTGCAAGCAAAGCAAATAAAGTTAGTGTTACAACACTCAGCTAGGCTGCCACCTCTTACTGGCACAATGTCAGTACTTTTTAGTGAATTTCTAGAAGGGGTTTGCCAGAGCCGACCCCTCATCACACGGTGTAAGCAACGTGTTTGCTTTTTGTACATAATGGAAATGAGTACCAAATGCTTTGGTTTACATTTGCTTGCTGCTGACATACGGTAGTGGATTTTTATAATTAGTTGCAAGACGCACTGCATGTATCTCCTCTTCTGTCAGATGCAAAAGTTGATGTGCAAATGGTTGAGAGTGATGCAACGTCAATATAATCTTACCCACAATGACTTCAATCAATACGGTACCCTCTGCCTGCTACCATATGCCCCGCACCCCCTCGCAAATTCTCATCCACCACAATTCTCGCTTTCGGTATCCTCCATATCAATTTCTCCTCTCCTCCCCACTGCTCCACACAGATTCCCTCTCCACTCCACTCCACCCTTCAATGGCGTCAATACCCCCCTCTCTGCGCCTCCCTGCTACCACCCGGTAAACCCCTCCACCATGGCTCTCTCCCACCCGCGCCTGTCTTCCCTCCCCTCCTTCACTTGGTAAACCCCTCCTCCCCACCATGGCTCTGTCCCCCTCTTCAGATACCCACTGGTACGCCAGAAGGTTCCCCAACCGCGCCTCCTTACACACTCTCGGTCCACCTGCAGCAGCCTCAGTAACCCCCTCCAGGAGATTCTAGGCTAGCAGATTTTCCTCCCACCCGCGCCTCCTTACACACTCTCACTCCACCTGCAGCATTCTCAGGAACCTCTGTCTTCCCTCCCCTCCTTCACTTGATAAACCTCCTCCTATGGCTGGCAACACTATGGCTCACTCCTCCTCACACACCCACTCGCTAAATCTGAGTCGCTTATGAGAGTTGTCAAAAGTCCTTCACTTGATAAACCCGTCCACTATTGCTCGCTCCTCCTCCTCACACACGCACTGGTAGCCCAGCAGATTCTCCTCCCACCTGCTCCACGGCTGCCCCCCAGAATCCACCCACTGCAGCCTGGCTGGCAGTCTGTGCCCTTGGGAGAATGCCTCTGCTCTCCCACACACTCCTCCCACCCCCTCCACGGCTCTCCCTCAGCGTCCACCCACTGCACTGCAGCACGGTTGGCAGCACTCTCTGCTGGCAGAATGCCTCTACTCTCACAGTAGCCCCTCTGTCAGCCCTGCCCTGCTTTCACTTGGTATGCCCCTCTACCACTTCCCTCTCCTCCTCCTCACACACCCACTGGTAGCCCAGCAGATTCTCCTCCCACCCACTCCACTCCACAGCTCCCCTTCCACCCTCCAGCGACCTCAGTAGCCCCTCTCTGCCCTGCCTTGCATCCACTGGGAATACCCCTCTACAACTTCCCTCTCCTCCTCCTCCGATACCCACTCATAGGCTAGCAGATTCTCCTCCCACCCGCTCCACGGCTCCCCCTCAGCATGCAACCACTGCAGCATGGCTGGCAACACGTGCTCTTGGGAAAATTCCTCTACTCTCTCGCACACAGCTCGTGACATGCGGAACGATGGGGGGGGGGATGGGGAGGAGGATTGCGGGGAGGGAGAGGAGGAAGGTGGGGAGGAGAGAGGGGACACGCTGAGGGCTGGTTGAGATGTGCCAAGTGGCGAGAAGGCAGAGTGCCACTGCGTGTATAGCCTTAGTGCTTCCTGCTGCTGCTGCTTGAAACGGTCTGTAGATTCAGCTTCTAGAGGAGCGCTGGACTGAGGAACCTCAAGTTCAGCAGCAGAGGAGGAGGATTTGTTTCCGGGCAGCTTTGGTGCTCGGAACGGCATGAAGGAGCAGTCGGCCAATAGGAGGCCTTGGGGTGGAGCGAGGGGCAGCACGATGCGGGAGTGGCGGGCAAGGGAGGGCAGCAGCATGGACGAGGGGATGGCTCCGTGGAGGATTGCTAAGGCTGTTCCCACCATTTTGCGGATCTGAGGGGCCAGGGGCAACAGCATGGGGGAGGCAAGAGGCAGAAGGGTGTTGGAGGGGGGAGCGGGGAGCAAGGCGGCGAGGGAGGGCAGCAGCACGGAAGAAGGGATGGCTCCGTGGAGCACTGCCAAGGCTGTTCCCACCAAAAAAAAGGTGGGGGAGAGGGGGTTTGGGGAGGAGATTTTTTTCTTTCCTTCTTTAAGTCGACTCAAAAATCGACTTCTCACACGGGGTTTGGGGAGGAGAAAAGAAGGGAAAAGAGAGGGCGGGGGGAGAGGAGGAGAAGTGGTGAGTTGCATGGAGCACGGAGGAGTGGAATAACTAAAGTGTCTCGTTCCTGAGAAGTGGTGAGTCGACACAAAAGTCAACATGCACCCTCCCCTCGACTCAACCAACAGGACATCCTCAACTCAACCTTGCCGTATCACAAGCCCCCAGTTTCCCCTCCCCCCTCCACCCCTCACCTGGTGAAGCTGAAACGACTCTCCTCGAATCACAACCCAAATCAATTTGGCCGCTACTGCCGTATCACTCCCCTATACTCCCCTCAGATCCCCCCCTTCAGTCCCCCCTCCCCCCCCCCCTCACCTGGTGAAGCATGAACGACTCTCCTCGAATCACAACCCAAACCAATCTTGGCCGCTACTGCCGTAACACACCCCATCAGCCCCCCCCTTCCCTTTTCCTCATCCCCCACCCTCACCTGGTGAAGCATGAACGACTCTCCTCGAATCACAACCCGAACGAACCTCCGCCGCTCCTGCCGTCCCACACCCCTCCCTCCTTCCGCCTCTTCTCCCTCCAATCTGCTCCCCTCCTCAAGTCTGCTGCTCCCCTCCACACTGCTACAATCAAACGCACCCTCTTCTAATCTGCCCCCAGCAAGGCTGCTCCCATCAAACACGCCCCCTTCAATCCACGGCAACACCGTGCAAGTCTCGATGGTTCTGAAATGTGCCGTACTGATCTTGTCGCTCTTATCTGTCTCATGAAGCCACACCGCCTTCCTTCCCGCCCTCTGCAATCCCCCTGCTGTATCCGCCCCCTCCTTCTCCTGCTCGCCTACACACCCTGCACCATCCGCATGTGCCGTACTGATCTTGTCACTCTTATCCGTCTCATGCAACCACACCGCCTTCCTCCCCGCCCTCTCCGCCCTCTCCGCCCTCTCCGCCCTCTCCGCCCTCTCCGCCCTCTCTGCCCTCTCCGCCCTCTCCGCCCTCTCCGCCCTCTCCGCCCTCTCCGCCCTCTCCGCCCTCTCCGCCCTCTCCGCCCTCTCCGCCCTCTCCGCCCTCTCCGCCCTCTCCGCCCTGTCCTCCTCCTCCCCCTCTTGGTCCCCTGCACCTCCGACCCTATCTACTCCCTCCCACTCTCGTCCCCCTCGTTCGTCTCCCGAGCTACTGCTCATCTCGCTTGCAACCTCCTCGATTTGAACCCTCTCAACCATCTCAGCCTCTTTCTCATCCCCTCTCTCAGCCTCTTTTTCAAACGTCATCACTGCTCCGTCTCCCACTCTCTCGCTTAACTCTCCGCCTGTCATCTCTGCCCCACCACTTATCACCTTTGCTTCTTCCTTTCCTTCGCCCCTTTCACTCTCCCTGCCTCTTCCCCATGCCCCTCCGCTCCTCAACCTCCTGTCGCCACCATTCCCCCTCTCTCCACCATCCCCTCTGTCTCCCTCCTCCTCCCCTTCTCCCCCTTCCCTCTTCTGCTTCTCGCGATACAGCCGCCGCACCGTGTAGTTGTGGAACGCGTGCTTGCCCTGGCGGGGAAGGAGGGATAGGGACGGCAAATGCAGATGGGAGAGAGCCAGTAAAGCACCCTCCTCCCCTTAATCCCTCTTCTGCTTCTCGCGATACAGCCGCCGCACCGTGTAGTTGTGGAACGCGTGTTTGCCCTGGCGGGGAAGGAGGGATAGGGACGGCAAATGCAGATGGGAGAGAGCCAGTAAAGCACCCTCCTCCCCTTAATCCCTCTTCTGCTTCTCGCGATACAGCCGCCGCACCGTGTAGTTGTGGAACGCGTGCTTGCCCTGGCGGGGAAGGAGGGATAGGGACGGCAAATGCAGATGGGAGAGAGCCAGTAAAGCACCCTCCTCCCCTTAATCCCTCTTCTGCTTCTCGCGATACAGCCGCCGCACCGTGTAGTTGTGGAACGCGTGTTTGCCCTGGCGGGGAAGGAGGGATAGGGACGGCAAATGCAGATGGGAGAGAGCCAGTAAAGCACCCTCCTCCCCTTAATCCCTCTTCTGCTTCTCGCGATACAGCCGCCGCACCGTGTAGTTGTGGAACGCGTGTTTGCCCTGGCGGGGAAGGAGGGATAGGGACGGCAAATGCAGATGGGAGAGAGCCAGTAAAGCACCCTCCTCCCCTTAATCCCTCTTCTGCTTCTCGCGATACAGCCGCCGCACCGTGTAGTTGTGGAACGCGTGCTTGCCCTGGCGGGGAAGGAGGGATAGGGACGGCAAATGCAGATGGGAGAGAGCCAGTAAAGCACCCTCCTCCCCTTAATCCCTCTTCTGCTTCTCGCGATACAGCCGCCGCACCGTGTAGTTGTGAAACGCGTGCTTGCCCTGGCGGGGAAGGAGGGATAGGGACGGCAAATGCAGATGGGAGAGAGCCAGTAAAGCACCCTCCTCTCCTTAATCCCTCTTCTGCTTCTCGCGATACAGCCGCCGCACCGTGTAGTTGTGGAACGCGTGCTTGCCCTGGCGGGGAAGGAGGGATAGGGACGGCAAATGCAGATGGGAGAGAGCCAGTAAAGCACCCTCCTCCCCTTAATCCCTCTTCTGCTTCTCGCGATACAGCCGCCGCACCGTGTAGTTGTGGAACGCGTGCTTGCCCTGGCGGGGAAGGAGGGATAGGGACGGCAAATGCAGATGGGAGAGAGCCAGTAAAGCACCCTCCTCCCCTTAATCCCTCTTCTGCTTCTCGCGATACAGCCGCCGCACCGTGTAGTTGTGGAACGCGTGCTTGCCCTGGCGGGGAAGGAGGGATAGGGACGGCAAATGCAGATGGGAGAGAGCCAGTAAAGCACCCTCTTCCCCTTAATCCCTCTTCTGCTTCTCGCGATACAGCCGCCGCACCGTGTAGTTGTGAAACGCGTGCTTGCCCTGGGGATGGCAAGGGGAGGAAATGCAATGGATCAAGGAAGGAAACACAATCTTGATCCTGGGTAAAATCAGCTTCCTCTCACTCCTCCTCCCCTTCCTCCCCTCATTCCTCCTATGAGTCTCACGATACAGCCACCTCACCACGTAGTTGCGAAAGGCGTGCTTGCCCTTGTTGGGAGACGAGGGTTGGGGGAGAGAAATGCAGAGGAACATGGAAATGCAGAGGAACATGGAAACACAATAGTGATACTGGTGCGACTTTTGAGCTTTCTCAAAAGTCGCACCAATATACATGGAAACCCAATAGTGATACTCGGTAAGAAGAATAGCCTGCTGCTTCCTCCCCCCCGTCCTCCCCCCTTTCCTCCCCCCCTTCCTCCCCCCTTCCTCCCCGCCTTCCTGCCCCCTTCCTCCCCGCCTTCCTGCCCCCCTTCCTCCCCTTCCCTCTTCTTCTTCTCATGATACAGCCGCTTCGATAGTGTAGTTGTGAAAAGCAGTTTGCATTCGTGGAAACTGCTTGTCACCTTCACCACCTCTCATTATAGTCACCTCGAATGTGTTGAGTATCTGCTGAAACTCCTTCAATCGACTCCTGCATAGAGGCGAGTTCTGAGGCGCCTCAAAACAGAGTCAATCGTTATACTCACCTCGAATGTGTTGAGTATTTTCTGAAACTCCTTCAGTCGCCTCCTCAACTCCTCCTCCTCGTCCTCCTCATGCTTCCCCCCCACCCCTCCCAGTCCCCCCCTTCTCCTGCTGCTCCTAGGCAGCAGCAAATCAGCAGGGAGTAAGTAGTGGTACATGCGGCTCACACACGCCCTTCTGGCCGAGAAGCTCCTGTAGGGAGGGAAGTCGGATGCATGACAACGGAAAAAAGAAAAGGGAAACTTCAGTCTCATCCCCCCCTCTTCTCCCACCCCCTTTTCCAGTCCTCCACTCCTCCTGCAAGTAGTGGTAGGTGGGGCTCACACACGCCCTTCTGGCCAAGAAGCTCCTGCATGGAGGGGGAGATGGCCACAGGTGAGCACGACAACAGGTGAGCATGACAGCAGGTGAGCATGACAGCAGGTGAGCACGACAGCAGGTGAGCATGAGAGCAGGTGAGCACGACAGCAGGTGAGCATGACAGCAGGTGAGCATGAGAGCAGGTGAGCATGACAGCAGGTGAGCACGACAGCAGGTGAGCATGAGAGCAGGTGAGCATGACAGCAGGTGAGCACGACAGCAGGTGAGCATGACAGCAGGTGAGCACGACAGCAGGTGAGCATGAGAGCAGGTGAGCACGACAGCAGGTGAGCATGACAGCAGGTGAGCACGACAGCAGGTGAGCATGACAGCAGGTGAGCACGACAGCAGGTGAGCATGAGAGCAGGTGAGCATGAGAGCAGGTGAGCATGAGAGCAGGTGAGCATGAGAGCAGGTGAGCATGAGAGCAGGTGAGCATGAGAGCAGGTGAGCATGAGAGCAGGTGAGCATGAGAGCAGGTGAGCACGACAGCAGGTGAGCATGAGAGCAGGTGAGCAGCAGGTGAGCATGAGAGCAGGTGAGCATGAGAGCAGGTGAGCATGAGAGCAGGTGAGCATGAGAGCAGGTGAGCACGGCAGCAGGTGAGCACGGCAGCAGGTGAGCACGGCAGTGGTAGGAGGTGCGGCTCACTCACACACACCCTCCTGCCTTAGAGGCTACAGCAGCAAAGCAGGAGAGGGAGATAGAACAAGGCACCCACTTGGACACTGCCAAGCCTTCCTGCTCCTCCTGCTGCTACTGCTGGTGCCCTCGCCCCTCTTCTAGTGAACACAGGAGTGACTGAGCGGGTTGCGAGAAGAGAAGGAACAGTGAGAAGAGAACAAGGTACTCACTTGGACACTGCCAAGCCTTCCTGCTCCTCCTGCACCCTCCTGAATGAGCGGCACTCACTTGGTGACGGGTACGGCGCCAAACACACGGATGGATGGAGGGGGGCAGATGGGCGTGATGGCATGAGCTGCTGCTGCTGCTTCTCTCACTTCATTGCCGTGAACACAAACGCGGAGGACCGGGTGAGTGGGAGAAGCGAAGGAGAGGAGAGGAGAGCACAAGGCACTCACTTGGTGACGGGTACGGCGCCAAACACACGGATGGAGGGGGGCAGATGCGCATTGATGGCGTCAGCTACCGCTTGCCCTTCCCGCTCCTCCTCCTGGCGGTCTTGCCCCTTGTGAAAGAGGCTCTCTGGTAGTTCTAGTTTCACAGACACAACAGTTGCCACTGAGTGCACCTGAGGGGGAGGGAGAGAGCAGCAGGGGCAGACAGGGCCGTTGGGACATTAGTCACAGCTACTGCCAAGCCTGGCCGTTCCGCCTACCCACTCCTCCTGCTCCTCCTCCTGCGGGTGACCTTGCCTGCCCCTTCTTGAAAGGACTCTCTGGGAGTTCGGGCTTCACAGACACCACCGTTGCCACTGAATGCACCTGAGGGGGGAGAGGAGAGGGAAAGGGAGAGGGAGAGGAGAGGGAGATGAAATGCTGCCTGCCCACTCCTCCTCCTGCTGGCCTTGCCCCTTGTGGAAAAGACCCTCTGGCAGCTCGAGCTTCACCGACACCACCGTTGCCACTGAATGCACCTGGGGAGGGGAGAGGAGTGGGGAGAGGTAGGGAGCGGAGGAGGAGGAGAGAGGAGTGACGGAGTGGTTGACTAGATGTTTAAGGCGCTCCTGTGCCTGCTCCTCCCAATCTTGCTCAGAATGCTTCGCGTACCTATTACACTACCTACTGCACTGCGCTGCACCGCACTCGACCCCTTATCCGTCCTGCTGTTCCTGCACCTCCCATTCTTGGCCAGAGTTTGCCTATTACACTACCTACTATACTGCAGCACACTACCAGCTGCAACGCACCGCACCACACTTCACCGCATCTCGTCTCGCTGCACCGCACTCGCCCCTTTGTCCGTCCTGCTACTCCGGCTCCACCCAATATTGGCCAGAATGCTAGGTTTACCTGTTACACTATCTACTGCACCGCACTGCACCGCACCAAACTCCACTCACCCCTTTGTCCGTCTTGGCCAGATAGCATACCTATTACAGTATCTATGCATGCACAGCACCACCCCGCACCGCACTGCACTGCATCGCACTCCACTCACCCCTTTGTCCGTCCTGCTGCTACGGCTCCACCCGATCTTGAACAGATCCCCGAAGTTGCTAGGAAGTATCATGCCCGCCGCCAGTAAAGCCTGCTCCAGATAACCCTCCACCGCTGGACAGAGAAAAGGGAGGGGAATGGACGGTCAGGGAGGGGAGGAATGGGGAAATGGTAGAATGGACAGACAGGGAGGGGAAGAATGGGGAAATGGTAGAATGGACAGACAGGGAGGGGAAGAATGGGGAAATGGTAGAATGGACAGACAGGGAGGGGAAGAATGGGGAAATGGTAGAATGGACAGACAGGGAGGGGAAGAATGGGGAAATGGTAGAATGGACAGACAGGGAGGGGAAGAATGGGGAAATGGTAGAATGGACAGACAGGGAGGGGAAGAATGGGGAAATGGTAGAATGGACAGACAGGGAGGGGAAGAATGGGGAAATGGTAGAATGGACAGACAGGGAGGGGAAGAATGGGGAAATGATAGGCGCTAGGCAGAGGAAGGGGGGGGTGTTGGGCGGTGGGGAAGCATCATGCCCGTCGCCAGTAAAGCCTGCTCCAGATAACCCTCCACCGCTGGAAGGGGTGAGTGAAGCAGTGGCATAAGGGGAAAAGGAGCAGCAGCGAAAGGTGGCAGAAAATGGGCGATGGGTGGTGGGGGATGGGATGCATCACTTGCGCATGCGTTTTTGAGACATTATACTTTTCAGATATTCACAAAGGTGACTCCAACATTTCACCAGGTGGTGGGATGAGAAGGGAGGGTATGCCTGTATCTCTTTTACGACTTCACCTAAAAATATCATGACGCAGTGTTGGGTTTGAAGTGCTGGAAAGCCGATAAGAGCCGGAAGAATTGCCTCTTGAGTCCTCTTTGTTACTGACCCTCTCATAGGAGAAAGAGGGGAGGAAGAGGTGAAGGGTTGGCTTTACTTACTGACCCTCTCATAGTCCTCTTTAAGTGCTGCACAGTGAAGCATAGGCATGTGAAGTGGATATCATGAGAACATTTCATCAGAGGCACTCCTGAATTTCGCCAACACATCCCCTTTGACTCCTCGTATCACAGTCACTATCATCAGAGGCGTGCAATCTGAAGGGAGCTCTCACTTGGGACGGATTCAGTTGAGGGGGTGCTGGAAGAGCCGCTGCTACCGCCACTGCCGCTGCTGCCGCTGCTGCTGCTGCTGCTGCTGCTGCTGCTGCTGCTGCTGCTGCTGCTGCTGCTGCTGCTGCTGCTGCTGCTGCTGCTGCTGCTGCTGCTGCTGCTGCTGCTGCTGCTGCTGCTGCTGCTGCTGCTGCTGCTGCTGCTGCTGCTGCTGCTGCTGCTGCTGCTGCTGCTGGTTTCCCTTTCGCTACTGTCACAGTCCTTGTAGTCACTCTCATCAGAGGCGTCTGAAGGGAGAGGCACCGGGCTTGCTCGCTGAATCTGCAGGCCTGTGTGGCGAGGAGAAAGAAGGGAGAGGGAGGAGCAGGGGTTGGGAAAAGGAAGTGAGGGCAGTGGTTAGGAGCAGTGGTTAGGAGCAGTGGTTAGGAGCAGTGTTGCCGGTACTGTCACAGTCCTCATAGACGCTCTCATTAGAGGCGTCTGAGGGGAGCGGCACTGGGCTTGCTCGCTGAATCTGCAGGCCTGTGGCAGGAGAGACCGAGGGGAGGGAGAGCAGTGGAGGTTGGGATAGGAGAGGAGCAGTGTTGCCGTTACTGTCACTATCACAGACGTCTGAGGGGAGCGGCACCGGGATTGCTCGCTGAATCTGCAGGCCTGTGGTGGGGAGACGAAGGGAGAGGGAGGAGCAGGTGTTAGGATAAGAAAGTTAGGGCAGTGGTTAAGAGCAGTGTTGCCGCCGTTACTGTCACAGTCCTCATAGTCACTCTCACTATCATCAAAGGCATCTGAAGGGAGTGGCACCGGGATTGCTCTCTGAATCTGCAGCCCTGTGGGGGGATAGAGAGAGAGGAGCAGAGGGATTCGGATAAGCGTGTGGGATGAAGATGGTAGGACGGGAATGAAGGAAGAGGGACGGACGGATGTCTCTCAGACCCAGCCAAACCCCTCTGAACCTCCCTACTTTTGCGCCGCTCGCACCTGTGTGAAAAATGTCAGCCTTTAAAATGTAGACAGGTTATGAGTCGGCTTTGTGCCGTTCATAAGTCAACTCACCCTTAGTCCCGGTGGTACCCTCGCACCCGGTGGTACCCTCGCACCCGGTGGTACCCTCGCACCCAAACCCCAGCAGCAGCAGCTGCTGCTGCTGCTGCTGCTGCTGCTGCTGCTGCTGCTGCTGCTGCTGCTGCTGCTGCTGCTGCTGCTGCTGCTGCTGCTGCTGCTGCTGCTGCTGCTGCTGCTGCTGCTGCTGCTGCTGCTGCTGCTGCTGCTTCTTCTTCTTCTTCTGTGAACCCCCAGGCAAACTGTTGAGGCACCTCAAAAGTCCCCTGTTACTCAAATTCCCAGCTGCTGCTGTAAATCCCAAGGCACACCCCGCCATAACCTCCTCTTTGTTTGACTACATCCAACCGCTCCAAATGCCTTTGAACCCCGCCATACCTCAACTCCATCATATCGCACCCTGTCCAAACACTTGCGGCTAAAAACCCTCTTAACCCTTGAATCCCAGCCGTACCTCTGACGTATCTCACCCAAACAGCTAAAATTTCCCCACTCCCTCCCCTCACCCCCTCCCCCTTTTCCCCTGGTTTCCAAACACAGATCCCCACTTACATATGACCTCCGTCCCAATGTATTTCACCCAGATTTTTTTTCCATCTCAGCAACGAGTTCTGCTTCACACCAGGTGTAATATAATGGCGGACAGCCTCACAGCCTCTTCACAGTCCTTTAACCTCTTCTTTAACCCTACTCCCCGGGCCTACATTTGAACTCCGTCCCAACGTATCCCACCCAGAGAGCCACCCGCCGCTTTCGCCACACCTAAATTACTTGGTGTCGCCCTCTCGTAAGCCCAAACCCTAAACCCTTTCTCTGGGTTCTTCCTCTTGGACCCCAAACCCCAAAACCCCAGCCTTACCTTTGAACTCCGTCCCAACGTATCCCACCCAAAGCGCCACTCGCCGCTTCCGAATCTTCCCGCCACCGGACGAATCTCCCTCTCCAACCACCGCCTGACACGTGTCCAAGGGTGGTTTGACGTCAGGATGACGTGTCACCGTTCCAGGGCCTGCCTCAGTGGCCTCCTCACTAATAGCGGATCTTGAAGCGGCTCGGGTTATCTCACTAGCAGCCGTGCCACGTGGCACAACATTCCGAGATTTACGGGAAATCTGTCTGAACTGGTATCCTCTATCCCAGCTGCTTCGAAAAACGCGATTCGAAACAGAGTTTTGGACTAAGGCTCTAGGATCTTTGTGAGAATTAATCTCCTTCAAGGGACCAACCACTACATGCGCTGCGCGGGCGCAGCATTGATCAGGATGTAACACCTGCGCTCCGAGCAGGAAACGCATGGCTTTAGGAGCGACAGGAGTAACAGGAGTAACAGGAGGGATGATGGTCTGGCGAGCAATCAAATGGGATTGCGAATGAGAGGTGAGGGATGTTTGACGCGCTTCGAGAACGGTTCTTAGGGGAACGAGCTGGCGTGCGATCATGCGGGAGTGGGAGACGATGGGTAGCATTCGGGTGATTCTAACGGGAAGCGCGGCCGGCAGGGCCAAGTATATGAAGTGACTCTATAGCCAACCTCGCGATCAGGCGAGAGTGAGAGGCGAAGTATGACATTCGCGTGGTTGATGGCCACGCCTCTAAAAGGGCCAATTGATGGCTAACACGAGCGAGTTGCAGGAACGAGCTACCAATGCGAGCCCAGACCGCCCCTGGTTCACCTGGTTCGTAGCTTGACGAGTTTGGGATAAATCTGGCGGCGAGAATTGCGGCGCGGAGGCGTTGGGTTGGGTTGCGAGCGAACGGAGGACTGACAGGGTGTAAGGATTTACAGAATCCTTACCGAGGCACTCGTTAGCGAGGCCATCCCGAGGGTCACGCGACGAACCTGTCCTTCCAATTTCGTCGCACCGAACCACCTCCGCACCAATCGCATCCATCACCGAGCCATCCTCGCCCAACCTCTCCGCCTAGCTAGGACTTCCCCTATTTAGTCGTGCCTTTCTCATTGTATCGTCATTGTGTAATTCTCATTCTCGATATTCGATATTCTGCGCACTCTGCAAGTTCATTCATAACATCTGGTATCAGAGCTACTTTCCTAGCCTACCCCGCTTTTTAGAGTGTAATACCCCTCGGGGGGGGGGACGAGGAAGGATGTCTTGGGGTCCAGGAGTTGCGTAGGCCGGCCAGGAGAACGAGTTAGTTGCTCCTCGCGGCCATGGTTTTACGGGTACTCCTTCGGCACCGCCAGATCCTTGCCTCGAACGGTCGCGATCGACCGTGGCCTCCCTCCCCCCGGGCAACGAGTAGCTGTAGCTGTCGCGACGTTAATGTGAGTAAATTTCCGCTGCGATTTACCGACGATTTCGGAAGTTTTGTGTGGCAGCTGGCGTCAGCGGACCTGCGTCGGCACCTGCACGAAATTCGCGGAGTCGTCAACGTGTGTGGCAGTTGACGCCGTCGGACCTGGGTCAACAGCTGCGCGACAACTTCGGAGTTCGTCTGAAGCGGCAAGTTACGACGGTGGCTCGTCGTCATTTTGCGCACATGACTCGCGGAATGTGTTTCGGCAGCTGGCGACAACGGACGTGCGTCACTGTGGGCGACATTCTCGGAGCTACTGTGAAGAAATGTCGGCTGGGGAACTCGCCAGGCGCAAAAGAAGTTTGCGACCGAAAATGTCGGTGGCGAGGAGAGACGACATAAGACTGCCCGACTTAGCGGGAGTCACCTGCCGTCCCGCCCGACCTGTTAAGTGCGGCGGCTTTTACTGCATTGGCGGGCGCGTCATCGAAGATTTCGGCAGGAGTGCACGTGGACAGACGGGAACTTCAGACCCGCCGACACTTACGGGTTGCAACAGAAAACGGAGTGGCTAAATCGCACTCAGGAAGAGACGCAGGCGGCGAGGGCAATTCGGGCCCATACACCCCGAAGAACACTCGGATGACGCTGCGTGCCTGGTACTGTTGACAGCTGGCCGACAATTTCGAGAGTGGATTCCCTGTAAGGAAGTCATTTTCGGGGACAGCCTCAACAGCCCACGATTAAACGGTGTTCAAGGTACCACGCCGACAATTACGGAGGAGAGTGGTACAGCCCGCCGGGACACATGAGAAGAAACTACCCGACGGCTAAGCGGGGGTTGAAGAACGGCGCGAAGGGCAGGTTAAAAGCCGGTGTGAACGATCTGTGACCTTCCGTCGCCCGAACCTCACCATCCCCACCAAGTTTTAGTTCTGACTCATGCACTCAACTTACTTGGCCGAATAACGGGGGTGAACACTGTCAAACATTATATCTATGTTTTAGTTGTTTAGGCTACAGTGGGTTAGCCTATAGGGGGTACACATTTCTAGGGTTTCCTACTTGTACTCATTTCACTGTTAGTTCATTCATTCTTGTTCAACATGGTATAGAGCAGGTCCTTCCTAGGACCGATTTTTTTTTAGGGCCACCCCTACCTACCTACCTACCTACCTACCTACCTACCTACCTACCTACCTACCTACCTACCTACCTACCTACCTACCTACCTACCTACCTACGCCCTAGGGCGCCTCGGCTTTCACGCCCCTAGAGGCCCCGTCGGCCCCGCGCTCTTGTCCTTAGAGGCCCCGAATCGGCCCCGCGCTTACCCCTAGAGGCCCCTGATCGGCCCCGTGCTCCCTCTTAGAGGCCCACGTCGGCCCCGCGCTCGTCCCTAACGGCCCCGATCGGCCCCGCGCATGCCCTTACGGGCCCCGAACGACCCCGCGTTTGCCCCTAGAGGCCCACAACGGCCCCGCGCTCGCCCTTAGAGGCCCTGAACGGCCCCGCGCTCGCCCTTCAAGGCCCCGAATCGGCCCCGCGCTCGTCCTTAAGGCCCCGGGAGGCCCCGCGTTTCCCCTTACGGCCCCGCGCTCGTCCCTAACGGCCCCGCTCGGCCTCGCGCTCGTCCCTCACGGCCCCGATAGGCCCCGCGCTCGCTCTTGAAGCCCCACGTCGGCCCCGCGCTCGTCCCTAACGGCCCCACCTGCCCCCGCGCTCGCCTCTAGAGGCTCGATCGGCCCCACCCAGAACGAGCCGCCCAAGCAGAGCCGCCCTAACCGAGCCGCGCCGCCCGACCCGAGACGCCCTAACCGAGCCGCGCCGCCCGACCCGAGCCGCCCTAACCGAGCCGCGCCGCCCGACCCGAGCCGCCCGAACCGAGCCGCGCCGCCCGAACCGAGCCGCGCCGCCCTACCTGTACCGAGCCGCGCCGCCCTACCTGTCCCTGGGGTGCTCCTACTGTTTTTCCTACTGCTGCTACCTTTACTGTTCCTACTGCTATGGCTAGCCCGCCAGTACTAGCTTTTGATGCTGAGGGCCGCCCAGTGAAGTTCGACACCTGGCTTGATGACCTACACCTCTTCCTACAGCTCACTGCCAAGGATGACATCTCACTGTACGATCACGCCCTAGGCCACGCCACTGCTCCTGCTGCTACTGCTGACAGCACTGCCCGCTCACAGTGGCAGACTCGTGACGCCCATGCTCGCTTCTCTATTCGCAACTCTCTGCCGATAGATGAGCGCGAGCACTTTGGGCAGCACAAGACTGCGCAGGCACTGTACACTGCTGTCGTTGCCCGCTACTCCTCACCGGCCTCTGCCGCACTAGGCCGACTCTCTCTTCCCTACCTGTTCCCCGACTTAGCTTCTTTCCACACAGTCGCTGACCTCATTACCCACCTCCGCACTAGTGAGGCTCGCTTCCGCGCCGCTATACCTGATGAGTTCCTTGCCTCGAACCCACCCCCGCTCTGGCTCACTCTCTACCACCTAGTCACGCGCCTCCCTGACACTCTGCGCTCAGTCAGGGACCACTTCCTAGCTCGCTGCCCCACTGAGCTCACCATTGCCCTCCTCGAGAAGGAACTCCTTGCAGCTGAGGCTAGCATAGTCGCTGTAGGTGCCTCTCGTGGTGACCTTCGTAACCCGTTCTTTGAGGGGTGTTCTCCCTCCCCCCTTCTTCCCTCTGTCGCCTCTGCTGCTGCTGTCGACCTCCTTGGTGCTGAGAAGGTCGGGACTGCGTCTGCCTTGAGCGGGCGCCGCAGCGGCAAGGGCAAGGGGGGCAAAGGCGGTGGTGGTGACAGCGGGGGTGGCGGTGGTGGGGGAGGTGGTGGTGGCGGAGGTGGTGGCGCGGGGGTGCTGGTGCTGTCCCTGCTGTGTCTAAAGTCGCCGCGCGGCCTCGGCCGTACTTTGTCCCGCTTCTTCAGCAGGTTCTTGGTCTCTCGCCTCCTCCCTTAGCGTGTCCACAGCCTGTCCCGTCATAGTTACAGTTGCAGACGCCCTCCCCACTCCCTGCTCCTTCTCCCTACGCTGGCCCTACTGGAGGCCTTAC